AGGAACTTTTGAACAAAAATATGATTTTCTTAATTTCAAAAATTAGATATTAAAATATTAATTTATTCCTACTCAGGCTAAAAAATTGTTTTTTGTCATAATCCTAATGTACACTTCTCCCATGTTCTTCCTTTTAAATCAACCAATCTATGTACATTTTCTGCATGTTCTCCCTATTTAAGTTGGTCAATGTATGCACATTCTTTACATGTACTCCCGATTAAAATCAGTCAATGTAGGTGTAAAATATAAAAAAGTATATATGTTATGTATAAATAGCCAGATGCGTATATATTCATTATGTGTAAGTAACAGCATCCAACTTTTTAATTTTTTAATTTTAGTTAAATAAATTTACATATAAATTTTTTTTCTAAAGACCTTCTCGGCTTTGGGGAGGTGAACTAACCTTATTTCAACTCTGTAACAAACCTTGACGAATAAGATTGCGGGGCAAAGAAAAAAGTTGATTGTGGTACTAACAGGGGCGAAGTGGGAATCAAACTCGGAATTTCTTGCTTATAAAAAGAGGAGTCTACCACTACAACACTCCTGCATTCACTTCACACATTCATACTGTAGATAAAACCAGTCAGCGAAGTTGAAAAAAAACCTTGTTGAAAGTTTCTCTATTTCAAATGATTCATTTTGTTGTAATTTTTTAACACCTGAATATCAAATTAGATTACTTTTTCAATGTTTTTATGTGACGTATCCGAAATTCCAATGACGTAACGATATAATGACATCAGGCATTGATAAAACGTAAACATTAGAATATAGTAGTTTTTATTATTTCGAGTGATTTTGCCTGTTCTACATTAAACAAAGGGAAATTATTGCTGTATTCCACAATGCAAAAATTTATTTTACGATGGTAAAATAAATTTTTTTTATTAAAACTGGTCCAAAAACAAAATTAAACACAAAAAATCAGTTATTTATGGTTTTAGTGTTGCTAAAAATTAAATTTACAATTTTGCATCTTGGTTATTTAAAATTTCAAAATCAAAAACATCTCATTATTTAATAACATGGATGAACTTTCTCTATTTTTCTTTGGGGAGTGTATCTATTTAGCCTTAACGCAAACAAGTTAATAAGTTTATACCAGAAAACTTTAAAATGAATTATTGATTGTACTAAAATGTTTTGTCAGAAACCTTCACCACTGAGACGTCAGAGTTCTTTATTCTCTAGTTATAAACATGATATAACTTAAATATAAGAATTATTGGTATTTCTCCTTCAGGAGCAATAACTTTTATAAGTCAACTTTATAAAGGATCTATTTCTGATAAAGAAATTGTTGTAAAATCAGGTCTCTTTAATAAAGAACTATGGAATGAAAATGATTCAGTTTTGGCTGATAGTGAGTTTACCATTTCAGACTATTTAAACACACTCAATCTTAATTTAAATATGCCAACTTTTTAAATGGACAGCTACAGCTAAGTAAAGAAGGTGCTACAGAAAGTCAAACCATTGCTTCATTGAGAATTCATGTAGAACATGCTATTTGTAGGATTAAAGTATTTTGCCAAATAAGTAATAAAATTCCTTTGGTGTTTCACGGTTCAATTAACCAACTATGGATAGTAACTTGTCTTTTGTGTAATTTTTTGCCACCATTTATCAAAAAATAAAATCAAAGATAAAAACATTTATTTACATATAGAGGGTAATATACTTTCTTTAATATTTACATTATTGTCCCATAGTTGTGGTAAAAATTAGTTGATGTAAAAATCATTTAACTTAGTAATTAATTAAAAAAAAAACTGATTGTCAAATGGTGTTCTTGTAATAGCGATTCCTTTAAATGTGTACACAACAAAGTCACAAAAGTGGGAATTAACCCTATTGCCGTTTGTATTTGTGTATAATAATCAGTATAATGATCTTTTTTTAAATATGGGTGTCCAATCAAACATTCAGAAATAGGCAATTGCTTTTTCATTCTTGGACATTTAATTTCAATTAAACCATAATAATATCCAGTCTCTTCATCATATACAAAACCATCCGGACTCGCAGATAACCAAAATAAATTAAGTTGTATTACAATTCCCATTGTCCTAACTGAAATATTACGATTTAATCTATTTTTCAAAATTTCAATATATTTCTCTTGGGCATGTGGCTCATAACCAAGCCCATGGTGTAAAGACTTTTAAATAAATTTAGGCAAATCAACTTTTTGTGTGTTTTTAATTAACTGATGAACAAGAGTTTCAAATTGTTTTTTGTGTATATAAATTTTATGAGAAGTACTTGAAGTTAAGCGATATTTTCTCAGATTAAACCACTGCTAATTTTTATTTTGTGTAACTGTATCAGCTTCATACTTTCTGCTTTGTTCAGAAGATACTTTTATTGATAACAAAGCTCCCAATTGTGAGATATATAGCAATGATTTTTATTATAAAAGCCAAGAGGTAAAGGAGCTATGGTATTTGACACATTAAAAGAGATTGCTTTAAGTTTTTCAATATTAGTGATAAGTTCAAAGCTCTCGTTTATCTGGAGTTAATAAGATAAAAGAAAATCAACTGAAAAATTTTCAAATGATGCTTCAGTAAAACTAAAAATATCAGTTAGGCAATGAACAATACCAATACCTTTATTTAAAAAAGCAACATTTGATTTTAGATTGTAAATACTCCTATTTAATGTTTCTTTTTTACATTTTATTTGCCTTGGATCATATAAAATAGGCTTAATGCCATGCTTTAATTCAAATTTTTGAACATTTGTAAACAATAGGAATTTTAATTGTTTTACATTTTGTAAAGCATAATAGGATTGTAATTGTAAACATAATAGGATTTTTAATTGTTTTAGTTTTATGACCTGGAATGCCCCATTGCCTTGATTTACTTGTACAAGCAATCTTTTCAGGTACATACTTGAGTTGATTTAAAGAATATTCTGCAAGTTCAAATAATAAAGCCATCATGTGATAACAATAACCACTTTTCCAGCAGGGCATGCTTTTCTAACAAAGCTAGTCAATTTGCTTATATAAACTTTTAAATCACGAACTTCATTTTTCATGCTTGCTTTGCATTTTGCTTTTAGTAAGATACACATTAGGTTATATGAAGTGTAAATACTATCTGATGATATATATCGTTCAGATTTAAATCTTTTACCTCTTTCAAATATTTTTTTTATTGCAATACTTTTGTTTTTAGATTTTTTTTTCTGTAGTTTTCTATTGCTTTAATAGTGAATAGTGGCAAGTATTTTAAACTTTTAAACCATGTTAAAGTTTTATCTGCAGATTTCAAATTTGGTGAAATATTTAAATTTCTATTTATTTCTAAAACAAATGGTATTTCAGTTAAATATTTTTGTAAATCTACCATAACATTTCCTACTTGAGAGTTAATTTTTTAATAATTATTTTGATATTTATGTTTTATAATTGCCTGATGTCATTACATCATTATGTCATTGGAATGTCGGATACGCCTATTGATCAGTGAATCAGCATTAAATAGCGAGAGGATGGGGGGTAGAGAAATATTTTTCATGTGTTTATATAATTCTACTATAAAGACTTGTGTTTATTATATTTTAATAAACACAAGTTAAAAACTAAACTTTCATAATGTTAAAAATATTCATAATCCATCAGGGCCCTATTTATTGTTATCTTAGCTATTAAGATATTCACATTTTTTCAATTTTTGCTGTTGAAAGAAATTTTCAATTGCTGCATTTTCAAGTAATTTATCTCTGAGTATTTTCTAAATAGCGTAGGCCTGGTGTAGATGTACCATTTTAAATGACATCTTATTACATGAATTATCATAATCATTTGAAACAATATTTTTAGTTATTCTAATAATTTGTGTAATAGAATGTCAGGATGTCGCATAATAGGATGATTCTATTAGAATCATTTTTTTTAATTAGGCATTTTTAATGATACTCATAGTTATCTTGGAATTTTTTAATATACTTTGACATTATTTGTGTTAAAAGACACTAATAAAGTCAAAATTAGGCAGTTTCTTGGTATGCATATGATATCAACAATACAATTATTAATTTAACAGATTATTGGGCAAAGGAAACAAGCTATGCGCCAATAGGTAATGCCACATCAAGAAATTGGTGTTAGCAACACTGCCAGTTTTTATTTTCTTATAAGAATACAAATAATAGTACTAATAAAAACTTGTTTTAGACTTAACTAATTCATTTTATTTAAAAACAAAGTTACTATCTTTTTATTTTTCCTAGAATGCATTATTTTCACGACTAAACCTAGTAAAAACCTGATAAGAAAGTCATGTTTTATGTTTAAGTGTCTCTATATATATATTATGCAAAGAGACTTGTAATGTAATATATATAACTTATAACAAAAGGGCAAGATCTATTAAACATATTGTTATTACATATATCTCTGAACATGTTGCAGAAAAATCTAGATAAAAACAAGTGTATCTATAACAAAGTATACAGACAAAACAGTGAGATCATTGCTTATTGCTCAAGTGTAAGAATTATGAGAAAAGAAAATCTAAATGTTTCTGATTTGATGCTTGTATAAAGCAATCGAAAATTGTTTTTACTTCTAAAATAAGATGGTATAAATAATATTGTGTTAAAATTTTCTATATTTCATATGTCCGATGTTTTTTTAATTAAACCATGTTTTTGAGTTTTTCATTTCTTTATATTACCTTTTTTTAATATTTATGTTACCTTTTTTTAAATATAAGAATAAGTCAAATGTTTGTGCAACAATTAGTTAATAATTGTTAGTAAAAGTTTAATTTTTTCTCATTTATTGTTTAAAATTAGAACTGGTTTGTTTAAAATTTAATAAATACAGTTAAAATTAGTTGTTGAAATATAGCACCTACTAATGTTAGTCTCTTTCTTAAAGATTAGTAAATGTTTAATCTTCACCTCCAAAATGATTAATACAATTTTTGTTAACCTAGTTTTTGCTATAATATTAATTTTTATATTTTTTTAAGAAAAAAATGAGGTATGCAATGAAGGAATTGTTGATATTGGTTTCATTATGGATTCTTCTGGCAGCTTGGGTAAAAATTATAAAAACGAAAAAGATTTGTTAAAAACTTTAGCATCACTTTTTAGCATTAAGCCAAATGGTTCTCAGGCAGGAGTTATAACATTCAGTTTTTACACTGAACATAGTATTAAGCTAAATCAGTTTTCTGATCAAGATTCCTTCAATGATGCAGTTGATAGAATTCCATTGATGGGTCATACAACAAGGATCGACAAAGGTCTTCGTCTCGCACAGAAGGAAATGTTTAAAGTTGAAAATGGTGGTCGACCAGGGGTGTCTAAATTACTTGTTTTATTAACAGATGGGTCACAAACACAAGGAAAAGGAGTAATAGACCCTGCCATTATTGCTGATGAAATACGTAAACAAGGTGTACCAATTATTGCAATCGGTATTGGAAAAGAAATCAATAAAAATGAATTAATAAAAATAGGTGGTGGGGAAGCCAACACTTACAGTGCAGATGATTTTGAAAAACTCAAAGAGAGTGATTTCATACAAAATCTAAAAAAAGGCGTCTGTGTAACAGGTACTTTTTTTTTTTTAATTTTCTTTTTTAATTTTTTTTTATGCAGATGAAAAAAAACGTTTTACTAGGTTAAATCTTCCTTAGAAGTTTAGGCTGTTTAAGTCTTTACTACACTACAGTCTATTATATTATACATTCATACAAAATTTAAAATTTAAAAGAATACTAAATTTAATTTTGATTTTATTTCTGATATAAATTTTATTTTCAAAATCAATAATTTTTTATGGGTTTTTTTTTTTCAGCTTCAGAACTGCCAATTGAATCCATAACAGATCTCGATGCTTCTACAAAACTAAGTAACTTTATATACATTTATATATTTTTTTCTTTACAAACTAATACTATTAAAACAATAGATAATGAAAAATCATTTTTCTTATATAACCTATAGGTAGGTCATTTGGTATGGATATTGTGTTTGCAATGGATTTGTCATCATCTTCTTCAAAAGAAATACTTAAGTTCAAAACTACCTAATGTATTTTAATTTTAGGTTTTTCAGAAATTATCATAAAATTTTTAAAAAATTTTCTGTAAAGTCAGTAAAAGTAAAGTTATGGATGGCCTTACAAATCCTAAATTGAAAATTAAAATTCTTTCTTAATCATACTTTAGCAAAACAGATATCAATATTTTTAATAAACAGGGTATACAGGGTAGTCAATAGTCATAATTTAGCATGATAACCAAATTTTTACTGAACAACAAGGATGGTACAATATATATATATATATATATATATATATATATATATATATATATATATATATATATATATATATATATATATATATATATATATATATATATATATATATATATATATATATATATATTTATATATATATATATATATATATATATATATATATATATATATATATATATTTTACAATAAGATTGTTATGCTACTTTCATACATTTGACAACATACCTGATGTAGAGAAAATGCAAATAAGATGATGGCATAGTAATAATGAGGAAAACCTTCAATGCTGCTGTTTAAGATAGTATTTGTCAAATATATCAACATTGCAAAAACTAGCCCTATTACCAAATGATGTGACATAGCTTTTATAAAAAGATCAAGTGGACGAGGCCCTAACAAAATTTAAAAAAAAATTAAAATTTTTGAAAGTATTTTAAATACAAAATATTTATATTAGGGTAAGAATAATTATATTAAGGTTCAACTAGGCATTACAATAGAGTATCGTAAAAATTCGTAGTCATTCAATTCATAGAAATGTTATTGAATTTCATTTGGTCAGGGAAAAATTTGTTAATATTCATTTTTGATTTTACAAAATATTTTTAAACATATGCACTTTAAACATTTTTTTTTTCATTTTTAAATTTATAATAAATATGTTAAAAATACAATCAAGCATAGAATTATAAAAGAAAATTTTTTTGTTGTTGCGTGGATATTCTGAATATCCTTTGTTACTCTCATTATAATTTTTGCAAATTTTATCATTTGTTTTTATGCTCAGCCGAGGGCAGGTCATTTAATACTGATGTGGTGTTTGCAATGGATTTGTCATCCGCTTCAGACGATATACTTCAGAAACAGAAAAGGATAGTTAGATCTCTTACAAAGTATCTTTTGCCATCGAAATCAAACGAATTAGGGTTGATCACTTACTCTGACATTGGTAACGTAGATTCAGAACTCAGTCCTAAATTCAATAATGAGATTTTAGATAAGATTGAAAACAATGGTAGAAGGCAAAATGTCGGTTCAGCTATTACTGTTGCTTCAGATGATATTTTCAAAAAAAGAAACAACGATGAAAAGCTAAAGAAGAAGCAAAGAGTGTTGGTACTTTTTGTTGTTGGAAAACCGTCTTCTAGCAACCCACCAGTTGTTCCTGAGCGTTATGGAAAAATGTTACAGGAAAATAATGTGCGAACAGTAATCATTGGGCTTGATGAAATTGGTGACGATTTTAACAAGAATATGCCTGGATCCAAACTTTTGAAATACTCTGAAGATAAAACTCCCAATGAATTGAAAGGACTGATGCAAGGATGGCATGATATGGTTATGTTTTATTACATGTGTGTTTTTAATTGAACCAGTTGTATTACAGTCATGTTTCGTTTTTTTGTTTCACTTTATATTACTTACACCTGTGTGTTTATTGTTGCCAACTTATTTACTTAAGTTGCTAAATAAAGTTATATTAGATTGATAAATGTCTTTATCTATGTATCCAGCACTTGTAATTTGGTTTGGCATTCTGCAATGCCAACCTAACTGCTGTCCTGTGTCTGAGGGCAGCAGTTATTTGCTGAACTTTAATCAAATTAAATCAGAAATGAAAACTTACATTAATTTGCTATTTCGAATAAAGTAAAATCTGCAAAAGGAACATTTTGTTAAAGTTCTAAACAAAAAAATTAAAATATAAACAAAACATCAAACTTTCTAATCAAATTCCAAATTTAAAAATAGAAAAAACGCAACGAAAAAGCCAACGTTTTATTCCAATTTTCAATAAAGTAGTTCAAATAAAAATGGCAAAATTATTGTTCAATTCAAATTGTAAACAAAACGATTAAAACTGAATAAAAAACGTTTTATTCAATTTTTAAACAAAACTGTTAAAATAAAAATGAAATTTTTTAACATTCAAAACAAGTATATACTTTTTTGCTGTTAAGTAGGTGTTCTGAATATCTCTTGTTACTCTTATTATAATTTTTGCAAATTTTATTATTTGTTTTTATGCTCAGCCGAGGGCAGGTCATTTAATACTGATGTGGTGTTTGCAATTGATTTGTCATCCTCTTCGGACGATATACTTCAGAAACAGAAAAGGATAGTTAGATCTCTTACAGAGTATCTTTTGCCATCGAAATCAAACGAATTAGGGTTGATCACATACTCTGACATTGGTAACGTAGATTCAGAACTCAGTCCTAAATTCAATAATGAGATTTTAGATAAGATTGAAAACAATGGTAGAAGGCAAAATGTCGGTTCAGCTATTACTGTTGCTTCAGATGATATTTTCAAAAAAAGAAACAACGATGAAAAGCTAAAGAAGAAGCAAAGAGTGTTGGTACTTTTTGTTGTTGGAAAACCGTCTTCTAGCAACCCACCAGTTGTTCCTGAGCGTTATGGAAAATTGTTACAGGAAAATAATGTGCGAACAGTAATAATTGGGCTTGATGAAGTTGGTGACGATTTTAACAAGAATGTGCCTGGATCCAAACTTTTGAAATATTCTGAAGATAAAACTCCCAATGAATTGAAAGAACTGATGCAAGGATGGCATGATATGGGTATGTTTTATTACATGTGTGTTTTTAATTGAATCAGTTGTATTACAGTCATGTTTCATTTTTTTGTTTCACTTTATATTACTTACATCTGTGTGTTTATTGTTGCCAGCTTATTTACTTATGTTGCTAAATAAAGTTATATTAGATTGATTAATTTCTTTTTGATGTTACTAAGTTATTTGGTAAATTATTCCAATATGGCACTATCCTGTTGCTGAAGAAATTTTCACGGTAATTGTGTTTAGTAAACTCTCTGTACTCTTTGTGTGGTTCTCCTCTGATATTAGAAGATCGACCTTTTAGAGTTGAAAAAAATGTTTTTGAATTTGGATGACACCAGTTTACTTTGTTTAAATTTGTTTTTATTTTATAATATTGGATCAGGACCCTCTAATTCTTCTGGATTAGAGACTTTTTAACTTTAAACATCATCATTCTTTCAGCTTTAAAACTTAGTCAAGAAATAGAATTTTTTGCTCGTTTTTGATGTTGACTTAATAATTTTGATGTTGACTTAAATGTTTTTGATGTTGACTTAATACTTTTGATGTTGACTTTAATGTTTTTGATGTTGACTTAATACTTTTGATGTTGACTTAAATGTTTTTGATGTTGACTTGATACTTTTGATGTTGACTTAAATGTTTTTGATGTTGACTTAATACTTTTGCGAATAGCATCAAATTTATTAAAATTTGTTGTTTGAACTGAAATTTGTTTTTTGAACATCAAAAAGCTTGAATTCCCTTAGTATCTCTGAAAATGAATCAGAGCTACTAATTTTGTGTTGTAATGAAACCATGTTTGTTAGAAATTGTTTTAACTGTGTTTTCAGGTTACTATTGGCTTCTTCAGAAATTTTTTCATTTGATGATTGGACATTCACACTATCCAATAGTTTAATAAAATTTTGTTTATTCATATTGTTGCATATTGATTAGTTGCTGACTAAAATAAAAAATTAACATTAAGTTTTAATGTCAATTTTTTATTTTCTTGTTTGAAAACATGCTTTTGCAATAACGAGTTTTGAACGTTTGACAATTTGAAAAATTTAATCAGTTTATGCAACTTATTTAATATGGACTTGATGCTATCTTGAAAGACTCTGTTGCTTCTTCCGTGAGCAGTGTTCTATACGATATCATCAAAAATGTCAATGTGATTCAATTTCTTAAGGTAATCATTGTCATTACAATTGAAATCTGAATCATTTTTCTTCTTTCAAAGAGAAATTCTATTGAAGTTTTTCTGAATTGTTTGTTTCATCACTTTTATTGGCTTTTCCTTTATTTGATTGATCATTTTTACCATTGTAGGTAGATGACTTTTTCTAGAATACATAAATAAATAGTCAGATAAATATAATGATTGTGGCACAATTGACTCACTATAGAAGTAATGCACCCATATTTTTTGCGTTACTGAAGCACCATCATAAGTAGAGGTAATTATATATGTTAAATCTTACCAAAGGTTTGTTAATTTTTGTTTCACATTTCATTTATAATTCTTGAGTCGTGAAAATATCTCTGGAACCATCAGTTTTAACAAAACCCAGTGTATAAGCACTTTTATTGTAAAGAGTTTTTTTATGCCTTTTTACTGGGGATATCATTCTTCAACTTTTATGCTAAAACCTTTTCCACATTTTTATTGTAAAGAGTTACATTTATATACCTTTTTACTGGTGATGTCATTCTTCAACTTTTATGCTAAAACCTTTTCCACATTTTTATTGTAAAGAGTTACATTTATATACCTTTTTACTGGTGATGTCATTCTTCAACTTTTATGCTGAAACCTTTTCCACATTTTTTCAAAACAGATATTTTGTCACACAGGTTTTTTTTTTATATATATTTAACTTATTGTTTTTTGGTACTTAGTAATAATTGGCTATAGGTAAAATAAAAAATAAAATAAATACAAATTACTAATCTTATTTGAATGAGTATGTGCAGCAAAATCGTTAACTAAAATCTAGTTTTTCATCAATATTTTAAATCAATATTTATATTAAAGAAAAACACTTACTAAATACTTATGTTATTTATTGTTGGTAATTTTAATTGGTATTGTTGGTAATTGTTATTTATTGTTGGTAATCATTGTTCTATGTATAAGATTTATTAATATAAGTTGATATATTATAAATAACAATATAAAGTTCTGATAGTGCTAAACAATTTATTATTTCTCATATATCAACTATTCTTAAGTTTAGGATAACTACTATTATGTACATTTATTCAAGAATTCCTTCATGCGAAATTTTTAAATGAATGTACAAGGGAGTTTAAATGAATGTACAAATGGATGTACAAGGGAGTTTAAATGAATGTACAAGGGAGTTTAAATGAATGTGCAAGGAAGTTATGTGTTTAAAAAAAAAATAGTGTTAAAATTGTTAATACTTTTCCGAAAAGAGAAATACAAATTGTTCAAGGGAAATCTTAGTGTTGCAATAATTACAATACCTACCAGTTACTAATAAATAAAAAAGTTTAGCTAACTTAACGTTTGCAAACAGCAGAACAAAATAACTTTTTTAAATATTTTTTATCAATCATTTACAAAGTTCCAACACAAAAAGTAAAATGTGTTACTTAGCATAAAGTAGTAGTATAGTATACAAAATAAAGTATATTAATTACAATGCTTGACTGGGCAATTGAAATAAAACGTTTAACATAGAATGTTGCATAGGAGATAAAAAATGAAAGATATAACATAAAACATTGCATAGCCATTTAAAATGATAATAAGCATTGTGCAGATGTTATAAAATAAAAGATTTAACATAAAAGATTTAAAAAAATATAGACAATACAATATTGCATAGTTTATGCAATACATTACATAGGTAATCTAATAAATTGATAAGGTAATACAAAACATTACATGGGTAATGCAAAACATTGCATAAACAACCCTGAAAATTAGAAAAAACTTTCGGCAAAAAAAGTTTGAAACACAGGGAATACCATAAGACGTAGAAACAAAATTAGCAATTATTTGCATATTTTTATTCAACACGTTAAGTTCAGCAGTTAGGTCAGCTTTGCCAAATGCTGACCCTAATTCCGAAGGCTGCATAGGTAATACAATACATTGCATACTTAATGTCATACATTAAATAGGTAATCCAAAATATTGATTAGGAAATTCAATACATTACAAAGAAAATAAAATAAATTGCCTAGAAAATGCAATACATTGCATAATTGATGCAATAAATTGCATAGAAAATAAAATACCTTGCAAAGGTAATAAAATATATAGCAAAGAAAGATTTTCAGAAAATAATATTTGTAATATATTACCTTCCCAATAAAAAATCTCTCGTTTTTTGTTCAAATTCAAAATAATTGCAAAATAATATCATTTTTATTTTGCCCATTATCAAGTTTTACAAACCATAAAAAAATAATATTGCAGAGCAGTTGAAGTATTAAAATATTTAGTTAAATACTAAAAATAATATATATTCAACTGTTGCTTTCAAAATCTCCCATTAAAGCTATTTATTTTTAATTTTATCATTTGTTTTTTATGCTCAGCTGAGGGCAGGGCGTTTAATGTTGATATGGTGTTTGCGATGGATTTGTCATCCTCTTCAGAGGAAATCCTTCAGAAACAGAAGAAGGCAATTAGATCTCTTATCGATTATCATCTACCATCGAAATCAAATGAATTAGGATTGATCACATACTCTGACATTGCTAATGTAAATTCGGAGCTCACTTCTAAATTCAATAGTGAGATTTTAGATAAGATTGTCAACAATGGTAGAAGGCAAAATGTTGCTTCAGCTATTACTGTTGCTTCAGAAAATATTTTCAAAATAAGAAACAACGATGAAAAGCTAAAGAAGAA